GAGGGTGCATTGGGATGAACATCGCACCTAATATGCAAGTGCACTGTTAGTTTTTAAAATAAAGGGGTTCATGGGGGGTTTATGCCAGCAACTTAATGAAATGAGAAATGAGAGATGATGCAATGCTGACTTCTTATTCAAGTTCAGTAGTAACAGTGGATGTATCTCAGCCAGTGATTGTCAAAGCCCATCTTAACCTAAGCTAATATCATCCACATATTGGGATATGACATGGTCTTGCAGTGCTTCTTTTTGTAATGCCTTTTATATTAATATTATTGTGTTTTATTAAAACTGACAATATTATCCACACAAATAATGAAGACATAAGTTTATTGTGGCACTGCAACTTTCATATTCATAAAAATTACACAATGGTTTGGTGAAGATTTAAATATAAAAAAGCAGTAATTTATTTCATGTAGTGTGTAAGCCTCCCATATTTAATATATAATATCATTAAAATGATGATAATAACACTTAATACACTTGCTAGGTACTGTAATACATATAGTCTAGATTTCAATAAATCAGGTTTTTTTTCATTTAAATGTTTAGAGTCTACTGTGACACATAATACAATTCAACTTTAGCAAATTGATTAAAAGAATACAGCATCTGAAATCTATCAAATCCTTAAGGAAGAAGTGAATGGTTGATAACTTACCCTTATCATTCTGTAGAGTGTTGACATTGTCATCATTTATTGGTGACACCATAGTTGAATCCTTTTCTTCTTCAGGATTTGTATTGGGAGTTAGACGGAGACTGCGAAGAATGTCCTGAAAGTAATTTCAAACTTTAGATGTACTTTGCCTAAGAAAAGATAAAAATAATATTTCATTATTTTAAATTATTTACCTACTTATTTATTCTTATAATTTTACTATATAGAATCAACAAAATATTCAGAAGACTTAACAATCTAAAAAGTTGTCTTAATATGGATAATGGATGGTTATAAATCTTACAAAAATATTTGTGTATAAAATGTGTATAAAATTTAAATTTAAAAAATACAAAATCGGTTATAGTTATGTATATGAAATTGAAGAATTTATTTAAAGGCTTACGTTTAAAAAAAAAAGATGTTTTAAGTTCTTTTTGAAGTTTACAACCATTGGTATTTAGTGCAATACATTGTTTTTGATTGTAATTTTTCCTTATTGTTAACATATAACAATGGTTGTCTGGTCCATAAATTTTAAATCATTTCTGGCATGTTGTGGAAGATGAGGTTTGGCAATTAGTCATAAACGTGTTAAAATATATCCCTTCTTGGCTACCTCTTCCCCACCACCAAAGAGGATAGAAACATATCCTATGCTAGGATATGATGATTTTGTACTACTTCTAATTTTAAAGATTTGAAGAAAAAAACAGTAGTTATAAATGACTGATATTTATATTTCATTTGTATTAACTCCAGGTGCTTTTGTTTGAGGGGTTATATGATTTTTTAGGGTAAATTAATTAATAAGCCATGTCAAGCTAGAGGGGGCTCTTTGTTGGCGATTTTCCTATGTAACAGACAGAAAATGAAAAGCTGTCTCTCCTTTTTAGTATACTAGTATATACTCTATAGCTAAAGTATACTGCTTGATATGAAAAGAGCCTATAATAATGAATGATGTTACCTGAAGGTGTTGAATTCGTGCTTCTAGTTTTCTGTTCCAGGCCCTCACGCTTTTTATTTCTTTGTCTTGTCTCTGTTGCTTTTTTTCCAAGTTTGTCACTCGTTCAATCAGTTTGGCCAAATCATCGCCTCCCACACTTTTTGTGGTGACCTGTTTCCATACCACAGCTAGTGTAAGGATGACCAAAATGGTTCCCATAGGGCGCAGCATTTTTTACACCAAAAGAAGTTAATTTTCTGGAGTCCTTTTGCCCCTTTCGTAGAACTTGAAGTGATTGTTAGAATGAGGAAAATGAGTCTCTTTAAATACTGTGATGGTATAAATTTTCCTTTTTCATGAAGCTCTGAAATTAGATATCATTTAATTTCCCACTGTGTTATCTTTGGGTGGCTTGATCATATTTTGCATCTTCTTAAATTACACTCGTCTGGGTACATGCATCAGGCTCACATTGTACTTCAGTTCACATTAGTCGTTTTTTTTCCTTGAAATTGACATGATTTAGCAATTGTTTGGTGTGTGTGATTTGAATACAGGGATGTGCATTTGTATGTACAGACACTAAAGCAATCACCAGCATCTGTTGTTGTTGCCATCGTAATCCACTCTCAGAGATAACGTGATAAGTAGAAAACCATTTGACCTTTTGTATTCAAACTTACAAAACTGATGAATATTCATTAAATATAGGTCCAGTTTGGAAATCAGTGTCATCAACAATTTTTCCCAATGTTTTTTTTTTTTTTTTTTTTTTTGAAATGAGGTATTTTTTCATAAAATGATCATATTTCACATCTTGGCATTTTGAAGGGGTGACTTCGAACTTTTATGGGCCCGAAAAATTTTGCTAGACACATTTTTTGAATGCCCATGATACTTATATTTTATTTATTTAAACTTGATGGCCATTATGCTGTTAAATATTGTGTAATATTGCATCAAAGTTGAAGAAAACCCTATTTTGAGAACTGATGCCCTAATGACCATTAAAGGAAAACCATATTCCTATGATTCTCAAACTTATAGAAAAGATTCGAAGGACTTAAAGACAGCTTGAGTTGGAAAACCAGCCTGATTGTATTTTTTCTGGAAGTTTCTGCTTTTTTTGCAAAATTTTTATTTTTCACATATTGGCTTTTTCAATGCTGGACTTAAAACTCCCACAGGTAAGAAGCGGTGTGGTATTACGTGAACGTCCTCATTATGAATAGATATTTTTTAATGGTTATACTGTTAGTTTTTATGTAATATCATCAAAAACTATTTTGTGCACTGCCACCACAAAGATATGAAAGGAAAACCATGTGACTTATTATTTTGTAACTTTCAAGAGCGTTTTTAGGATTGTCATACAGCTCAAATTAAAAAACTAGCTCGTTTGGATTATTATTATTATTATCATTATTATTATTATTATTATTATCTTTAAAAAAACTATGCATTTTTGTGAAATTTTCTCATTCTGGCACATTCAAAGTGTGAATTTGAACTTTGATGGACCTGAAGCATTTTGCTAGTAACATTTTCCCAATATCCATGTCATCTGTTTCTCATAATTATAATTTGGTGTTGATTTTGGTGTTAAGCATAATGTATTATTGCATCAGAATTGACCAAAAAACATATGGTAAGTAACATAACAGGGGAAGCTCCAGAAATATTTTCTGACAGTCTTCCAAATTATCTTTGTTGATCCATCCTCCATTTTTTACCAGTCTTCTGACAGAAAAAATTAAATGCCCATCAATGAAAACTGTAAAAATTCTGACCGTCTTCTGGAAGACCCAGAAGATGTCATTGGTTCCCCCCTGGTAAACCACTATTGTACATAGATTAAATCACTGGAGTGTAGCACTTCGTTAATATTGCGGGGGAGGGGGGATGATGATATGTGCATTCTTTAGCTAATGGCCTATCTTCTTTATAGATCTCGCTCCACCAGGTTGCGGTGGGTTCAGGAGGAAGGATTTGATGTAACGAACACCTGGGCCCTGGCTCATGTCTACATAGGGAATGAATGCCCGAGGATGTGCACTGGACACGGTAGATGTAGCAGAGGGCAGTGCAGGTGAGTAACCATTGGTGTGGAGTTGACACTGCCATAGTAACAGATAATTGTTGCAGCCATACATTTTTGTCTAATCAACCATTGTTATTTCAATATGTAAAAATAGTGTAACAGTCATTTAGATATCTCACTGATATTTGTTAAATTTGGTTGAAGGTTTGCGTTTTAATTCAGAGCAGTGTCATGAGGATATATATATATATATATATATATCCTAATTGTCACAGCTATAATGGAACATTACAGACATATATATATATATATATATATATATATATATATATATATATATATATATATATATATATATATATATATATATATATATGTATGTATGTATGTAATGTTTCATTATAGCTGTGACAATGGCTGGAGGGGTCAGTTTTGCGAACAGCCAACTGGTCAGCTGCCCAAGTGGCTTAAAGAGGACATGTTTGACCAGGACTGGGAGCAGGGCCAGTGGAGCAGGGTGTCAGGGGGGTTCATATCTACAAGCTGCAGGGTGAACACGGCAGGGAAAGTACTCCACTTTATAGGGGTGAGTTTTGAATATGAATTTGTGCTATAGGGGACAGGGGCAAATACTGACTGGGTATCTTATAGGACATGTGTCATGAAAGTTAAATTAAAATGTTTTAATAAGGATTTTTTTTCAATTCAAGGATTGGTAATTCAGATGCTTTTTTGTGACATATAATTCCAATTTTTAACATGTTCTGACAGTGGTTTACAAATCTAATCGCAAGTTCAAAATCTAGCGGAAATCCTACACATATTTTCATATTATGTAGGTTGGCTTTAGTTTTGTAATTGAAATATGCAAATATTGTATAGTTTTTTTTAGCTTATTTATAAGATTCTGACAAATAATGAATTTGTTTCAGGGCTGTACAAGACAGTTGACTTCCACTGACTTGGATCTTTCTGAAGCTGTCTACATCCAGTTCCATTTTGTGTTTGGTTGCTTAGCAACACCAGAGCACAGGGATGAAGGGGTTATAGTGGATTATTCTACAAATGGAGGCATCATTTGGACCACTGTCACAGAGTTGTATTATGATCAGTATAAAAAACCAGAGTGGGTAGAACTAATATTATTTATTTATTTATTGATAATGTTTTACATGAAATAAGAACATTTGTTAAATCAGATGATTTACATGCATTACCAGTTTTTTTTTTTTTTTCAATAATTGTGACAATGGTGAGTAACCTGGTAAAATATGGAATGTCTTTGCCATCCTTGGGCATTAGATCCGGAAGTCATCAAGTAATAGTTCATAATATAAGTAGAAAGGATATAATATGCCATCTGGCATTGTTAAATTGGATGCTTGAAAGCATGTATCACAATCTTATTTCTGCAAGTTTCAGTCTGTTAGAAACTATAATCAGCACAAAAGTGCACACACACACACACACACACACACACACACACACACACACACACCTGTGTTGATACGCATATATGTGTGTACACACATGCATACACACACACACTTACTTTTTACAAAGGAGAGTCATTCTTCAGTTCCCTGAAGCACAGTATGAATCTCCATGGTATCATTTCAGATTTGTGAGCCTAATGCTCCCAGAAGGTGCCAGAAGACTTGGCACAAGAATCCGCTGGTGGCAGCCCAAACACAGTGGAGAGAACACTGCTGACTGGGCTGTAGACAATATTATCATAGGAGGAACAGATCCTGCACCTGGTTCTCTGAAGGAAAATTTTAATTCTGGAATTACGCAGAAATTTTGGCTTAATAGTGACAATATGGAGATGGGTAATTTCTGTGGAGATTTATCACAAAGTGCCATTTCCTCTCCAGTTGGCATGGAAACTGTTACCCTGACTACAGTTGATATGAATATTGAGAAAGGTCACATACTGCAGTTCAGCATCAGTGTTGGTTGCAATGCAACATGGGATACATATATTTTACCAGTGCTGCTGCAGTTTTCTGTGGATTTTGGTGTCACATGGCACCCCCTGGTGGCAGAGTGTGCTCCCTCTGACCCACAATGCACCGATGTGGAGAACATGGAGAGCAGTTTCTACAATAATTTGGAATGGCGAAAAATGACCTTCTCATTAAAGGGAGAGGTGATATCTAGGTATATTGCATATGGGCCTGTCATTATACTTCATGAAGCTGTCAGTTTTAATTAAAATGGTGTCGGTCAATTTCATTTTGGTCAAAACCTTGAATGGAATTCAGTTTTCTTATATGTAAAATACAACTTAGGTTTTAATTAACTAGCTTTCAATCTAATATTTTATTTAGTTTTTAGAAGAACAGACTTTACACCACAAATGAATCACTTAATTATTGTTTTATAAAAGTGACCAATAATTTGGTAGGTTTTGTCAACAAAAGAATGGCACCATAGATTATATTTTTTTGCAACTTCACTCCAATGGTTTCCATTGTTTTGTTAAGAATTATGCTTGCCTTAAGATCTCATATCACTGGTTGATCATTTTTTCATTTCAGTTATGCATATTTAATATTTTATTCATTTTTTTTTTAGTTTTAAGTGCTATGAAAAACTTATTCCAGGTGTTATCGTTGGAACATTTATTATTTCAACAGGTCAACAAGATTCCGGTGGTTACAACATTTTTTCTCAGATGTGTCTCAAAGCCAAGTTTGGGCTGTTGATAATGTCTACATAGGACCAGCATGTCCTGGCAACTGTAGAGGGCGTGGTTGGTGTGACTATCCAAGATGTAACTGCTTCCAAGGCTATGGGGGGAAAGACTGCAGAGTAGTTTCAAAGAGGCCGGTGAGACTATATTATATCTGTTTAATTTAAACCAATTAAAATTATTTTTCAAGTTATACATTATTAATCATAATGTTTCACTGATATGATATGTTATAAAGGGGGGAACCATCTCTTTAGGTATTGTATCATAAATACATGTCAACAAAAATACCGTAGCCATATTTTTTTATTTATCCTATCATTGATTCCATATGAATTCCATAAAAATTGAATATTCATTGTCTTTATTTTGCCAAAAGTTTTGAGAACAGGTTAAAAGGATAAACTGGTCATACCTGCTGGTTCAAGAATTTTCATTTTCTCCATGCTTTTCTAACTTAAGACATACCTAAAGGAAGCATTTAGTGGCAGTGATCTTGGTCTGGACTCCTGGAGCCTTGTTCAAGGGGGGACTATTGGTCAGGGCTGTCCTCCAGTACTGGACGGCCCAGCACTGGTGCTGAGAGGGAAAGGACAGAGACAGGTGGTCACTGTTGATTTGGACACTAGAAATGCACGGTCAGTCATAGCTTTTTTTTTCTTTATTTTTGATTATTTTCCGTTTATTATCAGTTATTTTAACCCTATATTTCCCCAAATATAACATCTAACCTCTTAACAGGTTAATTCTTCAATCTTTTTGTTGTCTCTGTAGTTTTAGAGCTTAGGACTCATTATTATCCAATTATAATTGAATTATTTGGTTATTCATGGAGTTTGATGTTCACTTTTTGTGGTTTGTTTTATTATAATTGATTCAGTAACTCATTGATTGTTTATTGTTTTATGTGTGCACTTTATTTTGTAGGTGTTTTGTCGTTCATTCTTTCTCTTTTTTCATAGTCATGTACATGGAGGTGTTGGTATTTAAATATAATTGAATTGGATTTTTATTCAGTTTATCATTTTTTTTTTCAGTTTCATCCAGTTTCTGCTGCAGATAGGTGGTGAGGGACAAGAGGACGGATGTCGTCGCCCACAATCCAGAACAGACAGCGTAATCTTACAATATTCTTCCAATGGGGGTGAATATGGTTCTCACTCTTCAGTCTTAACTAAAACAGTTATCACCTTTATTGTTGTTTTTATGTACAGACACAGATGTGTCTGTACATATAGCCATCATCTGCGTCTGTCGTCGTCGCCGTTGCCGTCGCCGTGCACTTTTACCGATAACACGATAAGTGGAAAACCATTTTGCCTTTTGATTTGAAACTTGCAGAACTGATGAATATTCATAATACCCAGGTCAAGTTCGAAAATCAGCATGATCGGGTCACTCTTAGGGAATTTATGCTGTTTTTTCACTTTTTTCAACATATATGCAGCACCGATAACACGATAAGTGGAAAACCATTTTACCTTTTGGCTTGAAACTTACAGAACTGATGAATATACATAATACGCAGGTCAAGTTCGAAAATCAGCGTGATTGGGTCATTTTTAGTGAATTTAGGCTATTTTTTCTCTTTTTTCAGCATATATGCAGCACCGATAACACCATAAATGGAAAACCATTTGACCTTTTGGCTTGAAACCTACAGAACTGATGAATATTCATAATACGCAGGTCAAGTTCGAAAATCAGCATGATTGGGTCATTTTTAGTGAATTTAGGCTATTTTTTCACTTTTTTTCAGCATTTTTGCAACACTGATAACACAATAAATGAAGAGCTGTTTTACCCTTTGGCTTGAAACT